CAGAGGACTGGAGAATAGCTAACATTGTCCTATTGTTTAAAAAAGGGTAACAGGGATAATCCAGGAAATTACAGGCCTGTGAATCTCACATCACTGGTAGGGCAATTATTGGAAAAGATCCTCAGGGACAAGATCTATAAGCATTTAGAAGCAAATGGACTGATTAGCGATAAACAGCATGGTTTTGTGCAGGGGAAGTCATGCCTCACTAACTTGATCGAGTTTTCTTGAGGACGTGACGAAGATGATCTATGAAGGAAAAGCAGTTGATGTTGTCTGCATGGACTTCAGTAAATCCTTTGACAAGGTCCGTCATGGCAGACTGGTGCAAAAGGTGAAGTCACATGGTATCGGGTGAGCTGGCAAGATTGATTCAGAGCTGACTTAGTCATAGAAGACAGAGGGTAGTGGTGGAAATTTGCTTTTCGGAATAGTGGGCAATGACTAGTGGTATTCCACAAGGATCAGTGCTGGGACCTCTGCTGTTCATGATCTGCATAAATTATCTTGAGGAAAACGTAGCTGGTCTAATTATTAAGTTTGCGGATGATACAAAGATTGGTGTAGTCGCAGATTTTGAGGAGGATTGACAAAGGATACAGCAGGATATAGATCACTTGGAGGCATGGGCAGAAGGAGTTTAATGCAGACAGATATGAGGTGATACATTTTGGAAGGTCAAATACAGGTGGAAATTATATAGTGAATGGTAGAACCCTTAGGAGTATTGATATGCAGATAGATCTGGGTGTGCAAGTTCACTGATCACTGAAGGTGGCAGCGCAGATAGATAAGGCAGTAAGTAAGATCTATGGCATGCTTATCTTTATTGGAAGGGTCATTGAGTATAAGGATAGGCAAATTATGCTGCAGCTTTATAGAACTTTAGTTAGGCCACACTTGGAATATTGCATACCGTTCTGGCCACTACACTACCACAAGGATGTGGATGCTTTGGAGAGGGTACAGAAAATGTTTATCAGGATGTTGTCTGGTATGGGGGATTTCAGCTATGAAGACAGGTTAGATAGGCTAGGCTTGTTTTCACTGGAATGCAGGAGATTAAGGGGCGACCTAATAGAAGTTTATAAGATTGTGAATGGCATGGATAGAGTGGAAAGTTTGAGGTTTTTTTCCCAGGGTGGAAGGGTCAATTACTAGGTTAAAAGTATGAGGGGGAATGTTTAAAAGAGATGTGCAAGACAAGTTTTCCACACAAAGGGTGCTGAGTGCCTGGAACGCGCTGCCAGAGGAGGTGTTGGAAGTAAACACAATAACAGCTTTCAAGAAGCACCTGGAAGAATATATGAGTAGGAGAGGAATATAAGGATACGGATCTTCTAAGTGAAAACAGTTTTAATATGGAAGGCCAAAATGTGTTGGCGCAGAGTTAGAGGGCCAAAGGGCCTGTTTCAGTGCTATGTTGTTCTTTGTTCTTTATAACGGACTGTCATTGACCAGCACGGAATTTGAGTATTTCCTGAAGTCCAATGGCTCTCGTCATATAAGGACAGCTCCATACCATCTATCCATCCAGTAGTCTGGCAGAAAAAGCAGTCCAAACTTTGAAGGCAGGCTTAAAGAAACCGCATACAGCTTCACTAGACACCCAACAGTCCCGGTTCCTAATTGATTATAGGACCACCCCTCATACACCTCTACAGGGATATCTCCAGCAGGGTTGTTAATGGGGAGAAGAATCCGCACCAGGTTAAGTCTGATCTTCTTGGACCTAGGCAGGGAGGGTGAAACGACATCAGGAACGCCAATGCCAGACAATAGACTTCGCTAAGCGTGAGAGACCGTTTACTTCAGGGGACGATGTTTGTTGTAGGAACCATGGGAGTGGCTGTGCATGGAATGGAGGCATGGTTGACGTGAGGTCAGGTCCAGTGAAGTATAAAGTTCAGTTGGTGTGACAGTCCTGAACAAGCGCGTGGACCATATGAAAGCTGCAAACTTGCAAATGGTGCAGGAGCAAAACTTTCCTGGATCCTTGACAGCCTTTCTGACTGTTCCCTCTCTGTCAAGCTTTGAAGATACCTCAGAATCTAAGGTGGATATGCGGATGTCGCCTCCTCGACACCTTTGCTGCCTGAAGAAAGCAACAAATTTCTTCCGAGATACTCCAGACACAAGAGGTGAGCCACTGTGCATTACGCACCACCTGTAGCAGAGGCAAAGTCAGAGGAACCTGACCCATGTTAAAGTGCCCCAGCAGGAGCTACAAAACAAAAGGCCAATGTCCTTGGATTCAGAGGGGGAGGGATGTAGTGATTGTAACAAGGTCAGCCAGGTGGACCTCATAGAATATGAGTTCCCTGATTGAATCAGATTATCAGCTTCATTCAGGAAGCCCTGGCTGACAGACAAGAACAGAAGTGTCAGAGGTCCTGTTAATTCTGAGACCTGGCTCTGAAGGAACTGCAGCAGTGTCAAGAACTCTCCATGTGTAAGTAAGGAGTGATTGGGTGATGTGTACCGGCCTCTTAGAGTTATTTCAGGGACATTATCCATGAAGCATGCGGGGAAATTATGTGACGACGAAGCTGGCTGAAGGCACAGAGAAGCAAACAACAAGCTGTTACACCAGGTAGCTGCTCTGACTTTCATGTTAGAAATTGATGCCATCCGTTTTCTCAGGGAAGAAAGGCAAGATGGAGAACTGCATAGAGTGAGGTGAAATTAGCCATTAATGGAATGCAAATGCGTGGAAAATAGTTGCCATTCATCAGTGGGATTCAGAAGTTGCCACTTAAAGAGGAAGGGAAAAATATCAGAAAATGTTTTATTGATTTTATTCATTCTCACTGTACATCCCCAACTTTCTCACCCTACCCATGCCATTATATAATACTAATTGTATATAATATCTTAACAAACTATTTATTTCAAGATCAATTAGGGAGGAGCTACAAATACTGAGCTTGTCAATGACAGTCTCATCCTTTTATTATACACTGGATTGAGTTTGATGGCTGTGCCAGCATTTATTGCCCATCCTTAGTTGGCATTGAAAAGGTGGGGGTGAGCTACCTTCCTGAGCTGCTGCAGTCTATTTCGCGTATGTACACCCACATCACTCAGGGAGAGTGTTCCAGGATTTTGTCACAGGATTTTGACGCTGATGGAATAGCAGTATATTTCCAAATCAGGGTGATGAGTGGCTTAGCGGGGAGTTTGCAGGTGGTGACGTTCCCACTGCCTGATGTCTGCTGCCCTTGTCTTTTTAAATTATGATGGTCGTGGATTTGAAGGGGTTGTCTTAGGAGCTTTATGACTTAGAAGTGCATCTTCACAACGGTACTCGCTGCTGCTATGTGTCGGTGATGGAGGAATGATAGTTTGTGGATGTGGTGGCAGTCAAAAGTCTGGTGCTTTGTGCTGAATGGTGTCAAGTTTCTTGAATGGTGTTGGAGCTGCATTTATCCAGGCAAGTGGAGAGTATTGTATCACACTCCTCACTTGTGCCTTGTAGATGGTGCACAGGCTTTGGGGAGTCAGGAGATTGCCTTTGATCTTGTAGCCATAGTGTTAACATGGCTATCTGGTTCAGTTTCTAGTCAACGTAAACCCCACGATGTTGATAATGGGGAACTCGGGGATAGTAATGCCATTGAATGTCAAGGGGCAATGGTTAGATTGACCATCTCCAACAAGAGACAATGCCTGACACTTGTCAGCCCATACCTAGTTATTGTCCAGGTCTAGTTGTATTTGAATGTGGAGTGCTGCAATATCTGAGGAGTTATGAACATTGCATACCCATCATTGAACATCTCCATTTCTGACCTTGTGAAGGAAGGGAGGTCATTAATGGAGCAGCTGAAGATTGTTGGTCTGAGGATATTATCCTGAGGAACTCCTGATATCATCATCATTTGTGCAAGGTATGATTCCAACCAGGAGAGTTTTCTCCTTGATTCACATTGACGCTATCCTTGCTAGGGCCCTTGGATGCCACACTTGGTTAAATCGGCCTTGATGTCAAGAGCAGTCGCTCTCGCTTTCCTTCGGGAGTTCAGCTCTTTTGTCTGTTTGAATTAATACTCTAATGAAGCCACAAGCTGAGTGACCCTGGTAGAATCCAAACTGACCATCAGTGAGCAATTTATTGCTAAGCAAGTGAAGACTCCTATGATCATGGAAGGAAGAGCTTCTTTCACAGAGATATTAATGATGTTCTATGGTAACAAGAACTCAAGTTTATTTTTCTGTCTATGAAATTCACCTTAAAGGTTTCTCTGTTCTCATCATTAAAAACAAGCACTCGTTTTGGATTGATACCCAAATTTTGTAATCATTTACAAAGTTAGTTGGAGAATTCAACTTTGAAGTCTCTTGCAATTCCTCTTTGATACTTGGAAGCTATGTATTATAGTCTAAATATAAGTTAGTCATCTGTGAAATTTTCCATATTAGAATTCAGTAGTTTTAGGTAGAGCTAAAATGCAAGTTGTAGGATTGTTGATTCCAATGATATATGTAACGGATAATAGAATATTTCTGATATAATATTTTGAGGTTGAACATTGTATAGAAAGATAATCACCTCTTGCAACTATTTTGAAAAGCTTCAGTTAAGAGATGTTTGGTACTTACTGCAGGTGCAATCCACAGTGTCTCCATTCCTGTCTATTTCCCTTTCCAACAGGAAATTTTCATATGGAAGGACATGGAAAGAAACTTGGGCTCAGGGACTGCAACTACATCTCTCTCAACTATTTACAGAGAATTTTTCAACAGATCTCCTATTATGTTTGTTTGGGATAAAAAGCATAAGTGCTTAGTCATAAACGTTTAGATCTTTACCAATACCAGTTTCTGTACTAATATGTGCTATTGTATGTGGAAGTTTTTTTAAATACTTTACAATATACTGTACGTACTTTCTTGGTGTCTTTCAAAATACTATGTGCATTTTCTGTAATTTGGTATAGACAATATTATAGCTTACCCATTGTGAAGAAAATTTAATTCCAGTTAAATTGTGTGTGCAGGTATAATGAGTTGTTGAAGCAAAAAACCCAGTTGGAGGAGCTGGAGACAATTTTGAAAAAAGAACAAGAGAAAATGCACCATGAGGTAGAGAAACATGAGACCATGATACACAAGTACCAGAAACTTCAAAATGAAAATGAAAGGTTGGTGGCATCATTAGAAATGTTGCATGTCAGTGTTCTTCCCAATTATAGTATCACTGACAGATCTTTACCTATGATGTCCTCCCGTACGAGCCTCTAGCACTAGAAAAAGGTACAAAAGAAAAATGATAAGAATGTTACTAGAACTAAAAAGTTAGAACTATCAGAAAATGGAATTTGTTCGAGCTCTTTTATCTAGCAAGTGGATGGTAGTTGAGTAAACTAGTAGGAGTCTTTAAAATTATGATGAGTTTGATAGACTAGGTAGAGAAAATGTCTATGTGTGGGAAGTCCAAAACTATGGATCATAACATAGATAAATCAGAATAAATTTTCTTTCTGAGAGAATGTGGAACTTGCTACCAGTGAATTAAGAGCCAAATAACAGACACCTTTAAGGGAGAAGCTAGAAAAATTACATGGGAGAGAAAGGAACAGAAGAATATGCAGATCAGGTTAATGAATTTGGAGTTTAGCCCTGAAAAGTGTGAGGTGATTCATTTTGGAAGGACAAACTTGAAAGCAGAATACAGGGTTAACGGAAAGATTCTTGGCAGTGTGGAGGAGCAGAGGGATCTTGGGATTCATGTTCACAGTTCCCTGAAAGCTGCCACCCAGGTGGATAGAGTTGTTATGAAGGTGTATAGTGTGTTAGCTTTCATTAATAGAGGGATTCAGTTCAGGAGCCGTGAAGTTATGCTCCAGCAAAACAGAACCCTGGTGCCGCCACATCTGGAGTATTGTGTCCAGTTCTGGTCACCTCATCCCAGGAAAGATGTGGAAGCATTGGAAAAGGCGCAGAGGAGATTTACTAGGATGTTGCCTGGAATGGAGGGAAGGTCTTACAAGGAAAGGTTGAGAGAGCTAGGGCTTTTCTCTTTAGAACGATGAAGGATGAGAGGTGACTTGATAGAGGTGTACAAAATGATCAGAGGTATAGATAGAGTAGACAGCCAAAGACATTTTCCTAGGGTGGAGGTAGCTATTACGAGGGGGCATAGTTTTAAAGTGAGTGGAGGTAGATATAGGGGAGACGTCAGAGGTAGGTTCTTTACTCAGAGCGGTAGGGGCGTGAAATGCATTGCCGGAGAGGGTAGTAGAGTCGGCCTCATTAGGGGCATTTAAGCGGGTATTAGATAGGCATATGGATGATAGTATAAGGTAGGGGTGGAGGTTAGATAGACCTTAGGTTTAGGGTAAAAGTTCGGCACAACATCGTGGGCCGAAGGGCCTGTACTGTGCTGTACTGTTCTTTGTTATATGAATTAGGGTGGAAAGAGACTTGTAAGGAGCATAAACATGAGCATAGGCCATTTTAGCCCAATGACCATTTTTGCTTTTGGTTCTAAATTCTAATTCTAAAATAGGTGTGGAAGTAAGTTGAAATGAAGAAATGAGAAGTTTGCAAAAGGATAGGCACATGGGCCAAAATTTGGTAGAAGAAATTTAACATGGATAAGTGTGAGATTATCCATTTTATCAGAGAAATATCTAAATGGAGAAAAAATTTGGTGTGCATTGGTTCAGAGGAATCTGAGTGTCCTTGTGCATGAATTGTAGAAAATCCAGTGTGCAGCTATAGCAGGTAATAACAAAGACAAATGGAACATTGATATTTATTCCAAATGGAATAGCAAATGAAATTAGGGAAGTGTTGCTTCAATTGTGTAAGGCCGGACCTGGAATATTGTGTGTACTTTTGGTCCCTTATTTGGACCATAAGCTATAGGAGCAGAAGTAAGCCATTCAGCTCTTGGGTCCTCGTCTCTCTTACCCGTGGAAACATCTTCTCCACATCCACTTTATCCAGGACTTTCAGTATCCTGTAAGTTTCAATCAGATTCCCTCTCATCTTTCTAAACTCCATCGAGTATACATCTGGATGGGTTTTGAATGGGAAGAGTTTAGAGGGTTATGGACCAAATGCTGGCAATTGGGACTAGATTAATTCAGAATATCTGGTTGACGTGGACAAGTTAGGCTAAAGGGTCTGCTTCCAAGCTATACATCTCTGACTCAATGTGCACTGGCTGTCCTTTCTCTAACTTGTTCATTACCTCCTCAAAGAATTCTACCTGAATTGTCAGGCATGACCTGTCCTTGATGAAACTGTGCTGATTCCACTCTATTTTACCATGCACTTCCAAGTATTCCGCAATTGCATCCTTAATAGACTCTAAAATCTTGTCAATTTGAGAAAGGATGTAGATACTTTGGAGCGAGTTCAGAGGATGTTCGCTAGATTGATTCCAGGGACATAGAGAGGATGTTTTCTGGTGGGGCAATCTAGAATGAGAGGTCATAGTTTTAGGATAAGGGGTAGTGGATTTAAAACGGGGATGAAGAGTTATTTCTCTCAAAGGGTCATGAATCTGTAGAATTCATTACCTCAGGGTCTGGTGGATGTGGGACATTGAATAAATTTAAGAGCAGATTTAATTAGTAACACATTGAAGGGTTATGAAGAGCAGGCAGGAAAGTGGAGTTAAGGCTGAGATTAGATCAGCCATGCTGGTATTAAATGCTGTAGCTGGCTAGAGGGGCAAAATTGCCGACTGCTCCTAGTTCTTACATTCTGTATAATTCAGACCTTATGTCACACTTAGTACTGCTCTATTTTGTCTGATTAGAAGCTGTTAAGTGTTTTAAGTATAATTTGTGTCTGTATTGTAATATTTACTTGGCTAATTAAACATGAACTACTTCATTGGCTCAATTATCCTTTGAGATAAACTAAATCTAAATGAGGGTTTCTCCTGACATGTACAAAGGCAGGAACTTTGAATAGGAGTTTTAGATTACATACTTGGTTTAGCACACGGAGGGCCTCACAATCTTTTTTTCTAGTGGTTAAAGACGAGGAACAGTACAGGAGCAAAGTTATTTAATCTCCATGTACATAAATCATTAAATGCCGCTGTACATATCCAAAATATAACCAAAAGGACTGGTGGAATGTTGATTTTCTTTTTTTCCCCTCAAAGGTTTTGGAATACAAAAATGTGGAGGTGATATTTCAGTTCTACAATTTTGTTCAGACATTTGGAGTACTATATTCTGTTTAAGTTATATTACCCTTCAAGGATATTCTCCAAAAGCTTAAATTATGTGCATGAACTTGGCCACAGTCACTTTAGAACTTTTGAGAATAAGCTAATCGAGTGCTTAAAATGATAGAGATTTGATAAGGTAGATATAGCGAGCAGTTTTCTCTGACAAATGGAAAGGAAGAAGGAGTATAATCAACATTTAAATATAATATAACTTTTTATAGATATTTTATAGTTAGTTAAAATCTCAAATCTCTTATAATAGATCCCTTAACTCCACCAAAACAAGTTTCTAGATGTTCGGTGAATTTAAATTTTCAAGACTGGGGGCTAAGATTTTCATTTCTGCTTTGGGAATCTGTCCATTGGTTCTGTTCTGGATCCCAAGCCTTACTGGGCATCTTCCAAGTGCAGCCACTTGGATTTTTACAAGGCCTGATCAGTTAGGGAGCAGGCTCACTGTCCAATCAAGGATAGCAGACAGGTGGCCAACACTCAGCAGTCAGTGATCAACAGCTCCACAGGTAAGATGCAAACATTAAGATAGAGAGGAAGAGGTTAAGTAAAGGTTATTTTTAAAATGTCAAAGCTGCTTGCCATCATGTTGGGCTGCAGCTGCCAGCCCCACCAGCCTTACAGGAAAGGGTCCCTCCCACAGACCACCATGCCCTCCCTTGACCTCAACCTATTTAAAAATTCTGGCTGAAATTCTAGACTTTTGGTAAGGTTCTCAAGGCATGTGGAATAGACAGCTAAATGGAGTAGAATGAAACTTTTCATTTCAGTTCTAAATAGTTAGACCTTGATCTTAAACTAGGCTCCTCTTGTTCCAGATATCTCAACTGGCGGAAACAAGTTTGACACTGTCAGGTCCCTTCATAAACTTGACTATTCTTGTTTGAAAAACATGTCAGACTATTACACCCTTTTATTGCTATACTGAAGTGTTTGGATTATTTCCTGAAAACTGAATCCACAGCCTTTTTTTTTGTTTAATTTAACCTATTTTTCTAATCAACCTGTTCAGAGATGTTACTACACACCTCTGAAGCAGGTGGGACTTGAATCCAGGTCTCTCAGTCCAGGATAGGGACACCACCACTGTACCACAAGAGGGCTCCTCCTTCACAACTTTCTGACTCAGACTGACAATTAAAATCACTTGCTAAGCTGAATGCCAACATGAAGAGTTAGAAAGGACGTATTTCAATAGAAATTAAAGTTCTTAGAGGAAGAATACTGAAAGTATTTTCTCATCCTTGAATTTTCTTGTTCTACCTTGTGCCTTATAATTTATAAAAAGTTAGCTCTACATGAAATTGAGTATGTATGTCTCTGTTTGAAGGTTGAACCAAATATACAACCACTTGTTAAAGGAGAATGAAGGATTGCAGTTGGACCACAAGAATCTTAAAAGCTTGCTGAATGCTGCAAAACTAGAGCATACTCGATTGGAAGCTGAATTTGCAAACCTGAAGGAACGTTACCAACAGTTGGATATCAATTCCACTAAATTAAACAACCAATGTGAGGTGGGTGTGAATTCTTTAACCTTTCCAGCAATTTCTGTTTTTGTTTTTGTTTTTGTTTCTGATTTCCAGCATCTGCCATTCATTGGTTTAGCTTTAGCTTCTCAACTCTCCTCTGCCAATTTGATAAGATCGTGACTACATAATTGTTACCTCAGCTCAGTGTTTCTGTCTACCACCTATATCCTTAGATTCATGATTTACAAGGAAATCGATCTAGCTTGGCCTTACCAAACCTCTGAGAAAAAAAGACTGTGCTCACTTGCGTCTTAAATTGGACAGCCCTTATTCTTAATCTCTGTCCCTCTACTTTCCCTTTGGTGGTAAACCTGTTAAGTCCCCTTAAAGTCTCATATGTTTCAATATGTAGTGTACCTACCTTTGAGCTAAGAGAGCGGAGTTCAAGTTCTGTCTACGCTTGAGGTATGTAATAACATTTCTGGACAATTTGATTAAAGTATATCTCTTATTCTAAATTCCGATTAGAGATCCAACATTTTTTGCTTGGACAACTCCTTAATTCCATCAGTTGCAAATAATTAAATTAAAGAATCTGAACAAGAAATTAAGGGTGAGATTTATAAGCAATTTAGACAGGTTTGCTCCACTGATTGAGTTGTTTAGAAAATATCTCCATCAGTGGAGTTGTGAAAATATGATCTTCTAACTCACTAAAAGAAGACTGAAAAAGACACTAATTTAGTCAAATGAAGGAGCTTCTGGGAGTGCATCAAAAACCCATTAACATGGATAGAGGGTTAGCTTGCTAACAGGAACCAGAGTTGGGATAAATGGGTACTTTTCGCATTAGTAAACTGTAACTAATGAAGTATCACGAGGATTTAGGACTAAGTTTCTGACTACTTACGATCTACATTCATGATCTGGATGAAGGAACTGACTGCATTATCGGTGTATTTGGCTGCAGAGATAGGTAGGAGAACAAGTTATCAAGCAGATACAAAGAGTCTTCAAAAGGATATGGACAAGTTAAGTAAGTGGGCAAAGGTTTGAGATGAGTACTGCAGTGTGGGAATATATGAAGATATCCATTTTGGCAGGAAGAATAAAAAAGCAAAATATAATTTAAATAGGCTACATAATGCAGCAGTGCAAAGGGATCTGAATGTCCTTGTACCTGAATCACAGAAAAGTAGGACAAACTTGTTCTGACTATATAGAGCATTGGTCAGACCACACCTTCTCCTTGACGAGAGATATATTTGCGTTGGAAACAGTTCAGAGAAGTTTCACGAGGTGGATTCCTAGTTTGAAGGTGTTGAGATTGAGCAAGTTGGACCCAATATGTATTGGAGTTTACAAGAATGTGAACTGATCTTATTAAACTATCAGACTGTGAGGCGGCGTGACACAGTGGATGGAGAAATCTAGAAACATTTAAAAACAACGTGCCTCCAACTTGAGGCTGAGGCGAGGAGGATTTTCTTCTGTCAGAAGATCATTGATTTGTTTTTGGATCTGTCTTCCCTGGAGAGCAGTGGAGACTGGATCATTGAATATGGTCAAAATTGAGTTAGTCAAGTTTTGGTTGATAGCAGAATTGAGGGTTAAGGGAGGACAGCTGGAACGTGGAGTGAAGTCCACAATCTGATCAGCCATGATAAATAAATGTTTGGTAGTACAGAATAAAAACATTGATTAAAGGAAATAAAAAGCTGAATCTTTTTGTCTTGCACACATCAGGTTTAGGATGTAAGAAACAGACTTGAAAAGCGGGATGTATTTTTCACAGGATTAAAAAAGATGTTGGTTGGGTTGGCTATTGTTGATATGGAGATGCAGCAAGAACTGTCAATTTAGTTGTCAGATGCAGCAGATAGATTCTTGATTTTTCAGGGTTGTTGCCATGGGAATATAACAAAGATTGGCAGCCTCTGTGATACCCCTTTTTTCCTATGAAAAAAGGTGTTTTTTTTTAAACTCGTGAGACATGGGCATTGCTGGCTGGCCAGCATTTATTGTCCATCCCTAGTTGCCTTTGAACTGAGTTGCTTACAATGCCATTTCAGAGGGCAGTTGAGAGTCACCCACTTTGCTGTGGAGCTGGAGTCACATGTAGGCTAGGCCAGGTGAGGATGGCAGATTTCCATCCCTAAAGGACATTAATGAACCAGATAGGTTTTTCCGACAATCAACAATGATTTCATGGTCATCAGTAGATTCTTAATTCCATATTATTATTGAATTCAAAGTCCACCATCTGCTGTGGCAGGATTTGAATCCCAGGTCCCCAGATCGTTAGCTGAGCTCCTAGAGTAAGAGTCTATCAATAATAAGACTAGGCTATTGCCTCCCCTAAAACCATGCAGACACAGGGAGAATTGGAAAACTCCACACAGTCAATTGCCCAAGGCTGGAAAGGAACCCAGGTCCCTGTCACTGTAAGGTTGCACTGCTAACCACTGAGCTGCTGTGCCGCAATACAAATGCGATTTTGCCAAAATAAAACAGGTTTCTGTGTTAATAGTCCCACTCAAGTATCTGTTTTCCACTTGATACTTGTGACGGCACTGGTTTCCCAGAGGAGTGCAGGACTGCAACAATATCCAAGCCTTTGACAATATTGATGTATCAGCTGTACAGGAGGAAGAAAGAAGAGTGAAAGAGCAATTGTGATAAATTCATTTGTTAGGGGAACAGACAGCTATTTCTGCTGCCATTGATGAGATTCCATGACGATGATGTGTTGCCTTCATGGTACCAGGGTCAGTGATGTCATAGAATGGGCAAGGAATATTCTTCTGAGAAAGGATAGTCAGATAGAGATCATGGCCCACAACAAAACAGGTAGGAAGGGGTCCTGCAATCAGAATTTGGGTGGCTAGGTAGAAAATTAGCACGGAGAACCTCAAAAGTAGTTAGCTATAGATTTCTCCCAGTACCATGTGAAAGTGAGTATAGAAATAGGAGGATATGACACATGAATGTGTGGTTGGAAAGATGGTGCAGGAGGGTGGCATTCAAATTCTTGGGATATGAGGGACTGGTTCTGGCAGAGTGTAGTAAATGCTTAAGTTTCTCCTATCTGTACTGCATATGGTAGTATAGTATATCTCACAATTTGCCCCTAATTACCCCAATGCCCTGTACTCTATATAATGTCTTAATTGGTATTGACTCTGCTATGAGTGAGATTTTCAGATCCAATGATGATTAACATATTATGAAGAGTAACAAATTCCACATTAGCCTTCTATATATGTGTTAAACATTTGACCTTGCAGCAAGTCAGGCCATGCTTCCTGCTCCATGAATGGTTAAAAAAAACATAAATTGGTTAGTGACTTGCTTCAGTCATGACCATTGCTTCCAATGAGCTTCCACTTTCATGCCTATACAGGTGCACGTATCCGTAATTATGATCATTTCTTCGTATCCTATCCATTGTAGCACAAATATTATCTCCATCAGCATGACCTTATCTCCTACACTGGACATCTCAACCTGTTCTGTTTCTGCCTGTACATCCTGGTGAATAATTAGCTGATTCCGAACCTCTCCTCTTTGTCCATGCAGCTGCCTGTGTAGCTTTCTCGCACATTTAACTTTTTCACATCTGGTTCTTACTTTCTGATTACCTGTCACAACATGCCTGGTAATCTTATAATCCTTCCTGTCATTAACTCATGTAGCATTAATCCAGTTGATCTACTTGATGGTGCACTGAGTCCTATACAGATACTAGGCAACCTTTATGCCATTTCTGGCTGGCTTTAGCTGAAGCTTTCCTTAATGTCCTATTCATTCACGCCACCATGCCTAAGGTCTGTGGGTAGTAGGAAATGTCAAATTTTGTTTGATTCCCAGCAACTTGCAAACTTCCTAGGAACATTGAAAATAGGAGCAGGAATAGCCATTCGATCCCCCCAAGCTTGCCACAGGCCTCAATCCTTCGATGATTCAGACATCTATCTACTGCCTCTTTAAATACTCTTGTGATCTCAGCTCTACAACTCTCTGGAGTAGACAATTTGTTTGCATCTCTGTTTTAAATAAGTGGTCCATTGTCCCATAACCATGTCCCCATTCAAGACTACCCCAAAAGTGAAAATGTCTACTTTACGTCTCTTTTACATAGTTTCTTTCGATTATATCTTTGATCAATACTCCCATGCCTCCTTTTCTATCCTATCATAAGAGCACTACATAGACAGGATCCCTGAGTTTCCATTCATCCTTCACTTAAACAAGGTTTCCATTGTTGCCATGATAACATAATCCCATGTGGCTATTTGTGAGTGTAACTCACCAGTCTTATCTACCATGACCTGGGCATTTATGCACAAGAAGTCTGAACCCACCCTGGTCTGTGCTCATGTTCCCCATGTCTGATTTTATTTCCCCTTATTTCTGAACTACATTTTATTCTCATGCTCTTTCTTTTCCAGTCCTCCTGTGTACCTTGTATCACCTCTCTAAGCGTTTCATTTTTATGCTCTTTTGTTTGTTAAATAATTTTCAATGCCTGCCCTGCAGCACTAGACCTGAAAGGCCAGAGACCTGTTGAGGTACACCCCTCCATCTTGCTTCAGTCCATTCTATACTAGAATTGATCCCAGTTCCCTAGGAATCTGAAATCTTTCTTTATACACTACTATTTCAACAGCACTACCCAATCAATGTTGTATGATTATTGTTCCTGAGAAATCACCTGATCATTTTCAAAAGGGACTTTCTTATATCCAATAGATTGGAACCATGTCTGAAATGTAGCACTTACAGTTCTCTTAAAACTGCACTGAGTTATTTGCTCAAGTACGCTGAGTGGGACTTGAGCCCATGACTTTCTGACTTGGAGGCAAGGTTGCTACCACTGACAGAGTGACATTAATACTTAGAGTTTCTGAAAATGGTAAATGTTCCATTAAAAAGTGCCAATCATATTTTGACAAAATAGTACTTAATTAGATTCGACAATTTCTCTCATCATAGTCTGTCAAAGTCAGTCACTATGGCATTGGAAGGTGGCTCAAAAAAGATAGTTTGCTTTATTTCCATGTATCTGAGCATTAAGTACAACTGTCTTCCTTAAATGCCTATAACTTTGTTTGTTTAAGTCATTATGGAGAGTGATTACGTATTTTAGTTGACCTCCGCTCAAACCGCAATGCACCATCAAGCCTCTGCAAAAAAGAAATACTTGAGATGATCTGTTCTATCTATATGAATTACCTTGACCTTCCAGTTATTTGTCATTTCAATAAACCACTTTGATCTCATGCTAACACCTTGGACCTGCTGGATAGACTCAGAGTCATACAGCACAGAAATAGACCCTTTGGTCCAAACAGTCAAAGCCAACTATAATCCCAAACTAAACTAGTCCCACGTGCCTACACTTGGCCCATATCCCTCCAAACATTTCTTAATCATGTACTTATCTAAATGTCTTTTAAATGTTGTAACTGTACCTGCAACCACCACTTCTTATGGAAGTTTATTCCACACACGAACCATTCTATGTTTTAAAAAAAAAATTGCCCCTCATGTCTTTTTTAAATCATTCTCCTCTCACCTTAAAAATATGGCCCCTAGTTTTGAAATCCCCCACCCTAAGGAAAAGGCACTTAGCATTCACTTTATCTATACCCCTTTTGATTTTCGTAAACCTCCGTAAGGTCATGTCTCAACCTCCTACACTCCAGCGAATAAAGTCCCAGTCTATCCAGCCTCTCCTTATAACTTAAATCTTCCATTCCCAGCAATATCCTGGTAAAACTCTTCTGAACCCTCTCCAGCTTAATAGTACCCTTCCTACAAAAGGGACCAGAACTGGGACACAATACTCCAGAAGAGGCCTTACCAAAATCCTGTACAACCTCAACATAACATCCCAACTCCTACACTCAAAGGTCTGAGCAAGTATGCTAAATACCTTCTCAACCACCTTATCTATGTGTAATGCAAACTTCAAAGGATTATGTACCTGAACCCCTATGTTTCTATTCTATAACACCAGCCAAGGCCTTTCTTTTAATTGTACGAGTCTTGGCTTTGTTTGTTGTACCAAAATGGAATACCTCATTTATTCAAATTAAACTCCATCTGCCACTCTTCAGCCCGTTGACCCAATTGATCAAGATCTCTTTGTAATCTTGGATAACCACCTTCACTGTCTACTGTACCACCAATCTGGGTGTCATCTGCAAACTTACTAACCATACTTTCTATATTCTCATCTAAACCATTTATATAAATGACAAACAAATGTGGACCCAGCACTAATCTCTGTGGAACACCGCTGGTCACAGGCCTCCAGTCTGAAAAACAACCCTTTACCATCACAGTGTTGCTCCTGTGGTTGAGCCAGTTTTGTATCCAATTGACAAGCTTACCCTGAATCCCATGTGATCTAACCTCACTAATTAAACTACCATGTGGAACCTTGTCAACACTTCACTAAAGTCCACGTAAATGATGTCTACCACTCTGCCCGTGTCAATGTTCTTGGTTATTTCCTCAAAAAAAAACTCAAGTTTGTGAGATATGATTTCCCTCACACAAAACCATACTGACTATCTCTAATCATTCTTTGCCTCTCCAAATGTATATAAATCCTGTCTTTCAGAATCACTTCTAACAACTTACCCATCACCAAAGTCAGACCCACAGGCTTCTCCTTGCATCCCTTCTTAAACAAAGGCACAACATTAGACACTTTCCAGTCATTTAGCACCTCATCCATATTTATATACAATACAAAAGTAGTTTGCTGATGAATGAGGAAGCAAGCTCATGGAACAACATAGAGTCATAGAGTAATACAGCATGGAAACAGGCCGTTTGGCCTAAATTGGTCCATGCTGCCCGTGGTGCCCACTCAGCTAGTTCCAATTGCCTGTATTTGGTCCATATCCCTCTTAAACCCTTGCCATCCATGTATTTATCCAAATGTTTTTTTAAACATTGCTATTGTACCAGCCTGAACTACTTTGTCTGGCAGCCCATTCCATATACGCATCACTCTCTACGTGAAGAATTTGTCCCTCAAGTCCTCCTTAAATCTTTCCCCTCTCGCCTTAAACCTAAGCCCTCTTGTTTTCAATTCCCTATCCCTGGGAAAAAGACTATATGCATTCATCCTGTCTATGCCACTCATGATTTTATACACCTCAATATGGTCACTCATTCTCCTACGTTCCAGGGAATAAAGTGCTATCTATAACTCAGGCCTAGAAGTCCTAGCAACATCCTTGTAAAGTTTCTTTGCACACTTTCTGGTTTAACAATGTCTTTTCTATAACACGGTGACCAAAACTGTACACAATCCTCCAAGTGCAACCTCACCAACGACTTATACAACTGTAACATAGCGTCCCAACTCCTATACTCAACACCTGAACTGATGAAGGTCAGCATGCTAAATGCCATCTTTTCACCATCCTGTCTACCTGTGATGCTGCTTTCAACAAACTACGTCCTTGTCCTCCTAGGTCCCTCTGTTCCACAACACTCCTCAGGACCTTACCATTTACTGTATAAGTCCTACTTTGGTTTGACTTTGGAAAGCACAACACCTCACACTTATCTGTATAGAACTGCATTTGCCAATCCTGAGCCAACTTCCCCATCTGATTAAGATCCCTCTGTAATTTTTGATCACCTTCCTTGCTATCAACTATACCTCCTAATTTTGTATGATCTGCAAATTTACTAATCATGCCTTGTACATTCACATCCAGATCATTTATGTAAATAACAAATAACAAAGGTCCCAACACCAGTCCCTGTGAAACCCCAATAGTCACAGGCCTTTAGATCAAGAAACAACCTTCAACCATCACACTCTGCTTCCTACCATCAAGCCAATTTTGAATCCAATCTCCCTGGATCCCATACAACCTAACCTTCATGACCAGCCTATCATGTAGGACCTTGTCAAAGGCCTTACTATAGTCCATATCGACAACATCCACTACCCTACTTTCATCTATCCTCTTGGTTACCTCTTTGAAAAACTCCAAAAGATTTGTTGGACATGACTTCCCACACAAATCCGTGCTGATTACATCTTATTTTCTATTTAGCCACCCTTTACGGCCATTAGGTCTGAATATTAAATTTTGCATTTTAAGAGCTTGACTGCATGGTGCCTATGATCTATTTTTCTTGCTGTCCGCAGTCCCTCCCCCTAAATTCTTGTTTGTGTCTTGTTTACTCTGTAATCAGGTAGTCCTCTCCCTTTTACCCTCTAATTTACACCCATTGTACATCTTACTGTCTTTCACCCCCGTTAACAATCCCTTTTGTCATTTGCACTGGACCTCTACATCATCTGTTCCATTTGCCCCTCCTCCGTCTCTGTTAACTAAATAAAAATAATTTCTTCTGAACTGAAAATAGTTGAAAGAGACCTACTGGGCTCAATGTTAACTCTGTTCCTCACTCCATGCATGCTGTCAGACCTGCTGAGTTTCTGCCGCATTTTCTGTTCAGATTTCCATCATGTGCTGTATTTTATTCTGAATGTTTGCCTGTAGAAATACAAATGTTACATGTAAATCAAATTGTGGTTAAAATGCGATGATGAAACTGATATTTTCAGTGGAGAATTGGCCCTAGACTTGAAATGTACGATAATAGTCAATTTTTTTACTGTTCTGATTTTGAGCACCCACCTAAAAACCATAATATAGATGATATTTCTTCTTTGACCTTTTATCTCTTTACAACTAGGAGGTTTTTAAGGTCATAACAAAACTGTTAAGCTCTCTTTTAGTCTTAATCATAGCTTTTGCATATTTTGAAGAGGTATGTCTAAAAAATATTTATCCTGACCATTGTTTGGTTTTCATTCAGCTACTGAGCCAATTAAAAGGGAATCTTGAGGAAGAAAATCGACATTTGCTAGACCAAATCCAGACATTAATGCTGCACAACAAGTCATTGTTAGAACAGAGCATGGAGAGTAAGGATCTGTTCCATGTGGAACAAAGACAGTACATGTAAGTAGAACGAAAAGAAGTACTTCATGTGATAATTAAAAATACTAATCCTTCCACTCTGCAAAGAATACTTTGGGCACTATCTTCCCATCACCTGAACATTGTAGGTTATGGCGAGAACATAGAACAGCACAGCACAGTAGAGGCCCTTCGGCCCATGATGTTGTGCCGACCTATTATCCACCTAAGGTCAATCTACCCTGCATACCCTACATTTTACTATTCTCCATGTGCCTATTCAAGAGTCGTTTAAAAGTCTCTAAAGTATCTATCTCCACTCCCACTGCTAGCAGCGCATTCCACACGCCCACCACTCTCCGTGTAAAGAATCTACCTCTGACATCTCCCCTGTACCTTCCTCCAATCACCTTAAAATTATGCCCCCTTGTAATAGTCATTTCCGCCCTGGGAAAAAACCTCTGACTATTCACTCTATCTATGTCTCTTATCATCTTGTAAACCTCTATCAAGTCACCTCTTACCCTTCTTCGCTCCAATGAAAAAAGCCCTGGTTCCCTCAACATTTCCTCATAAGACCTGCCCTCCAGTCCAGGCAGCATGCTGGTAAATCTCCTCTGCACCCCCTCTAAAGCTTCCACATCCTTCCTATAATGAGGTGACCAGAACTGAACACAATATTCCAAGTGTGGTCTAACCACAGTTTTATAGAACTGCAGCGTAACCTCACAGCTCTTAAACTCAATTCCCCTGCCAATGAAAGCCAACACACCATACGCCATCTTTACAACCCTGTCAACTTGGGTAGCAACTTTGAGGGATCTATTGCCGTGGACCCCAAGATCCCTCTGTTCCTCCACACTGCCGAGAATCCTGCCATTAACCCTGTGTTCTGCATTCAAATTTGACCTTCCAAAATGAATCACTTCACACTTTTCTGGGTTGAATTCCATCTGCCATTTCTTTGCCAGCTCAGCATCCTGTCAATGTCCCGTTGCAACCTACAACAGCCCTCCACGCTGTTCACAACTCCACCAACCTTCGTGTCATCGGCAAACTTACTAACCCACCCTTCCACTTTCTCATCCAAGTCATTTAAAAAGATCACAAAGAGCAAAGGTCCCAGAGCAGATCCCGAGCTCCAGGCTGAATACTTTCCATCTACTACCACCCTCTGTCTTCTATTGGACTGCCAGTTTTGTATCCAGACAGCCAAATTTCCGTGAATCCCATGCCTCCTTACTTTCTGAATGAGCCTACCATGTGAAACCTTATCGAATGCCTTGCTAAAATCCATATACACCACATCCACTGCTCTACCTTCATCGATGTGTTTTGTCACATCCTCAAAGAATTCCGTAAGGCTTGTGAGGCATGACCTGCCCCTCACAAAGCCATATTGACTATTTCTAATCAAACTGTGCTTTTCCAAATAATCATAAATACTATCTCTCAGAATCCTCTCCAATAATTTGCCCACCACAGAAGTAAGACTGACCGGTCTATAATTTCCAGGATTATCCCTCTTCCCTTTCTTGAACAAGGGAATGACATTTGCCACCCTCCAATCTTCTGGTACTACTCCAGTGGACAGTGAAGATGCAAAGATCATTTCCAAAGAGGCAACAATCTCTTCCCTCGCTTCCCGTAATAACCTTGGGTATATCCCATCTGGCCCATGGGACTTATCTATCCTCATGTTTTTCAAAATTTCTAGCACATCCTCCTTCTTAACATCAACCTGTTCGAGCATATCTGCCTGTTTCATGCTGTCCTCATAAATGTCAAGGTTCCTCTCGCTGGTGAATACTGAAGCAAAGTATTCATTAAGGACCTCCTCCTCTGACTCTGCACACAAGTTCCCTCCACTATCCCTGATTGGCCCTACCCTCACTCTGGCCATCCTCTTGTTCCTCACATAAGTATAGGAAGCCTTGGAGTTTTCCTTGATCCTACCCGCCAATGTTTTCTCATACCCCCTTCTAGCTCTCCTAAGTCCATTCTTCAGTTCCTGCCTGGCTACCTTGTAGACCTCTAGAACCCTGTCCGATGCTTGCTTCGTCACCCTTAAGTAAGCTTCCTTCTTCCTCTTGACTCGGTGTTCAACATGTCTTGTCATCCAAGGTTCCTTCACCTTACCATCATTTCCTTGCCTCAGTGGTACAAACATATCCAGTACCTGTAGCAACTGCTCCCTAACCAACCTCCACATTTCTATCGTGCATTTCCCTGAGAACATCTGATCCCAGTTGGTGCTCCATAGTTCTTGCCTAATAGCATTGTAATCCCCCCTTCCCCAATTAAATACTTTCCCATACCGTCAGCTCTTATCCCTCTGCATGACTATAGTAAAGGTCAGGGAGTTGCGATCACTATCACCGAAATGCTCTACCACCGAGAGATTTGACGCCTGACCTGGTTCGTTGCCAAGCACCAAATCCAATATGGCCTCCCCTCTAGTCAGCCTATCTACATATTGAGACAGAAATCCTTCCTGGACACACCTGACAAAATCTGCTCCATCCAAACTATTTGCACTTAGGAGGTTCCAGTCTATATTAGGGAAGTTGAAGTCGCTTATGACAACAATCCTATTACTTATGCACCTTTCCAAAATCTGTCTCCCGATCTGTTCCTCTGTCTCTGTTGCTATTGGGATGTCTGTAGAAAACTCCCAATAAAGTGACTGCTCCTTTCCTGTTTCTGACTTCCACCCATACTGACTCAGTGGAGAAACCCTCCTCCACAACTTCCCTTTCTGCAGCTGTGATACCATCTCTGATTAGTAATGCCACTCCCCCACCTCTTTTACCTCCCTCCTTATTTGTTTTGAAACATCTATACACCGGAACATCCAACAACCATTCCTGCCCCTGTGTTATCTAAGTTTCTGTAATGGCCACAACATTGTAGTTCCAAGTACTGATCCATACTCTAAATTCGTCACCCTTATTCCTGACACTTCTTGCATTGAAGTAGACACGCCTCAACCCGTTGCACTGATTGGCACTTTGCCCTATCAACTGCTTATCCTTCCTCATAGATTCTCTGCCTGCTCTATCTGTCTGTATACTGGCTACCTCATCCTCTGATCTGTAGATCTGGTTCCCATCCCCCTGCCAAACCTCCCGAAGAGCTGTAGCAAACCTCCCGCCCAGGATATTGGTGCCCCTCCAGTTCAGGTGCAACCCCTCCTTCCTGTACAGGTCCCACCTTCCCCAGAAGGTATCCCAATGATCCATAAACCTGAAGCCCTCCCTCCTACACCAGCTCTGTAGCCACATGTTCAGCTGCGCTCTCTCTCTGTTTCTAGCCTCACTAGCCTGTGGCGCCGATAGTAATCCTGAGAATACTACTCTACTTGTCCTGGCTTTCCACTTCCATCCTAACTCCCTATAATCACTTTTCAGGTTCTCATCCCGGTTCCTAGCTATGTCATTGTTACCGATGTGTACCACAACTTCTAACTGCTCTCCCTCCCCCTGAAGAATCCTGAAGACTCAATCCAAGACATCCCTGACCCTGGCACCTGGGAAGCAACAGACCGTCAGGGAGTCTCGCTCAGCACCACAGAATCTCCTGTCTGTTCCCCTAACCACTGAATCCTCTATCATTATTGCTCTCCTATTCTCCCCCGCTCCCTTCTGAGCCACAGAGCCAGGCTCAGTGCCTGAGACCTGGCCGCTATGGCTTTCCCCTAGTAAGGTCTCTCCCCACCAGTATCCAAAGCGTATACTTATTATTGAGGGGAACAGCCACAGGGGATCCCTGCACTGTCTTCCTATTCCCTTTACCCCTCCTGACAGTCACCCAGCTACCTTTGTCCTGTACCTTGGGTGTGACCACCGCCTTATAACTCCTCTCTATCACTCTCTCAGCCTCCCGAATGATCCGGAGTTCATCTAGCTCCAGCTCCAGTTCCCGTTCCCTAATGTGGTCTGTGAGGAGCTGGAGTTGGGTGCACTTCTTGCAGGTGAAGTCAGAAGGGACACCAGTAGCGACCCTTACCTCCCACATCCTACAAGAGGAGCATGCAACTGCCCTAGCTTCCATTCCCTCTACTCTAGATTGCCAAAAGAATAAAGAAAAATAAACCTTACCTTACCAAACCTCCACATAGTCTTTTTTTTTTGGTTAGAGGAGGATGGGTGAGAGACACTACACGTGTAGTGTTTCGGGTTTAGACAATGCCCGAATATAGTAGTTCACTTCCCAGCTCACGCTCTCACCACTCCCGCCGCTGAAAGCAAGAAGCGAGAAGTTTGGGGGAATCACGTGGAATATCTTTCTCAAAGTCAAGACCACCATTTTCTAACCACGACCCAGATGCTGAGACAACATTCTCACTCACAAGTGGTCAGAGGCCTAATAACAGCTCATTATCACTCATTCCTACCTAATTTCACCTCTAATATTCAGGCACCCATTCTTCCACCAGATAGAAATTAGACACCAAAACTTCCCAACATGAAAGTAAGACTCTATCTCTGCCCTTGCTCCTCCGGACTTCCGTCTTGGACACACAGCAACACCATCTCCTGGCGTGCTCAATTGGCAGTCAAACTCTGAAGTTATGGGACTCAAAATTGAGTCCTAGAGGGTGTAAACTGGCTATGTGGTAAATGAGGTGTTGTTCCTCTAGCTTGTGTTGAGTAGCAAGCCAAGGGCAGAAATGTTAGCATGGGAGTAAGATGGTTTATTAAAAATGGTAAAAGCTTAAAAGGTTGGAGTCATTCCTACGGATAGAGTGCAGATGTTCCACAAAGTGGTCACCCAGTCTCTGTTCAGTTTTTTGCAGTGTAAAGGAGACCACATTGTGAACAGTGAATACAGTAGACTAGATTGAAAGAAGTACAAATAAAATGCTGCTTCACCCGAATGGATCATCTTTCACCATTTTTGCCACTTCCATCAGAGTACCACTACCAAACATCCCTTGCCCTCCCCTTCACTGTCAATATTCCATCTGTTGCCTCTGTGACACACTGGTCCATTCTTCCTGACACTTCCTCATTCCCCCATGGCTCCTTCCCAGCCAATCTCAGAATATATAAAGTTTGTTCATTAACTTGCCCCCCGCCCCCAACATTCGAGGTGAATCAGCATTTCACTTGCTGAATCTTGCTTGTTGTAGTTGCTGCTATACAGACTCTCAGACACAGCTGATGGCAGAACATGAACTTATATTTACAAAATGCAAACTTCTTTACATGGAAATCTCACCTGTTCTACCTATGTGTTCTCGGAAGATCGTCTCCTTTTATCGGAATAGGAGTAGTTCAGCCAGCTAACCAAGTCTGCTCTGCTATTCAATATGATCATGGCTGATTGAACACTTTAATACCAGTCTTTTACCACTTGAATAGCCACCTCTTCGCATTACTGTTTCTGCCATTGATAATCAAAACTTTATCAATCTTTACTTTGAATATATTCAAAGACTAATCTTCCACAGGCTTCTTGGATAAAGAATTCCAAAGATTCACCACACCGAGTGAAAAAAATATCCTTCATCTCAGTCCTAAATGGAATCCGCCTTATTTTTAAATTGTGTCCCCAGTTCTAGATGTCTCAACTAGGAGACATATCTTACCAGAATGTACCCTGTCAATCCCATCAAGTATTTTACAATTTGAATATGATTACCTTTTTATCTTTGATTCTCTGCAAAATATGGGTCAAGTTTGCCCAATTTCCCTTATTAGAGCAGACATCCTGAGAACAAGTCAGGTGAACCTCGGTTACACTTTCTCTGTGGCAGTAATATCTCTTCTGAGATAAGGAGACCAAAACTGCCTGCAGTACTCCAGGTGCAGTCTAACTAAACTCCTGGATGAGTGAAACAAGATTCACTACTGTAGTAATCCTCCTATGATTAAGGCTAACATTCCATGAGTCTTCCTAGTATCTTGCTGCGTCAGCATGTGCTTTCAGGAACTTATGACAAGGAAACCCCACATCCACAGTTTTCAACCTCTCACCATTTAAGATATTTTTTGCACATCTGTTCTTACTACCAAAATGGATAACTTCACCTTTTCCACATTATATTCCATTTGCCATGTTCTTGCCCAATTACTAAACCTATCCAAATCCTCCTGATACATATTACATCTTTCTCACAACACACATTCTTGCTAAGCTTTGTATCATCTGTAAATTTGGAAATTAATAGATTTGGCCCCCACATCCAAATCATCAATATATATTTTGAACATCTGGGGCCTGAGTACAGATGCTTACGGTTCTCCTCTAGTCACAGTCTGTCAATGTGAGAATTATCTGTTTATTCCTACTGTTCTCTCTCTGTTGGCCAATCCTTCATCCATGTCAGTACATTACTTCCTACACTAGATGCTTTAATTTTGCTAACCAACCTCCTGTGGGAGGAGCATTATGAGAATCCAAATATAGTACATTCATCGACCCCTTTTTATCAATATTATTAGTATGATCCTTAAAGTCAAAGAAAAAGTTGTCAAACACAGTTTTCATTTCACAAAGCCATGCTTAAGGTTATGCTTAATAAGATCACATTTACCCTCGTGTGTTCCTCCCCCTCCTCTCCACCACCACCCCCCTCCCAACTGTGTCTCAGTGCATTCCTGGATTCTGCAACTGGGATTGAGGGAGCCTGTGATTGGCCTTTGAAGTTTTATTAGATGACCCTGCTGGTGCTTCTGTTCAGAAGTCCCTTACATGCTGAGTTTGATCTATCCAGAGGCAGGTGCACCCTCCTTGGCTTGACTTCCCACAAATCTGAGGGTTGCAGGCATTGTGGAGGTGGAAAGTCTAGCCACCTCTAGAGTGTTGAGAAACTGGACTTCTGTGGGGGTCTATGTGTGATTTGTCTTTCAGTTGGGTGCCTACTGGCACAGCCCTTCCTCATGAAGAAGAGGCACCTGGAGTTAGATCAAGGTCCTTTTTACTGCTGTCATCTTGCCATTAATGCTGAACACCAATGGCTAAAGGAATCAAGTGCAAGTCTTTGCACATATCGAGCAGACTCAGAGACTGATAGAGACGGCTATCTAAGATAGCAGCTAGCAGGTCCCAGTTGTGGTGTTGCAGGCCTGTAGCCTTTGAGTCAGGTTGCTCAGTGTCCCTGACAAACCTGCCTGCTGATCCGGTGTCTGTTCGTGCTTTTGTATGAAGTCCCCAGTTGCCTACACCATGGAGTCCTTCCCTGCCTGAGTTTGAGCAGATGCCTGGTTGCCAACAGTCCTCCAAATGCCAGTGACCTGGAACATTTCTTTCTTGGCCATCTGGGAAGACAGTGAAGTGTTCATCAACAAGTATCATCGGAGTCTGTGGGGGTTTGCAGGAGGTGGCATTTCCCATCTTTCCTCTGACATACATACCCTGTTCCTCATGTCTTACTGGGTGACCTTCTTGACCATGACCACCATGGACATCTTGTTTGTGCCTGCAGGAGACAAAAGAACAAAAGCTTTGCGATCAAAGGTTAGAAGTTGTGGCCTATTAGTAATAAATTCATGGTAGGAGTCATTGGCGAATAGCACAGCAAAGATCAAAGCTTCTTACTTGAATGCTGGGTTGTGAAGTTCCTACATGTCCATAGGATTGGTCCCGATCACACCTGCAAGGACGAAGATCCTCTCCTTTCAGCTCTTTACGGGTATGTTCTTGTGTAACAAAAGAAAGGAAGGGATTAAATGATGTGAAAGCCTTTTGTGCTGGTGCAGATGTGAGGAAGAAAATGTGGTGAGGTGTCCCAAGTGAGTAATTAGGTAGTGCATGGCCTCTGCACTATTAGTAGTGTGCAGGGTTGAGGTGGGTAAGAGTGAGTGAAGGAATAGTGACAGTAGTAGGGCATGAGCATTGGTGGATGGTGGATGCGATAGTAGAGATATAGTAGGTGTGGGGAAGCAGAACAAATATGGTGGCACTTACCCTGGAAGAGTGGAGACAGTCATTGACTTTCCTGCATTGTTTGGTGTTTTTTCAAACCATGGAAAATATACTGACTTGGGTTGCAAACTCAGACCAGATTGGCAGGACATGGTGGTGTAGCCTCCTCTGGTGGACCCCATCCACCAAGACTTCCAGGTACTGTCAGCAAAATGAGGGACCAATTTCCCCTGTCTGCCATGTCTGTAACCACAGTTCCAGACTGCCAGCACTGGACCAGGCACAATGGCCTTTTTATGTATGGTGCTGGCACCAGGGGTATCAGTATATCCTAGCAGTGGCAAATACTTCTGGCTACAGCAAATAGGAAAGAGTGCCGTAGGCGTATTAAAGGTAGCTAATAAGGTAGGTTTGAGATGGTTGCACAAGAAAATGTGCTTAGCTTTGCAGAGAGAAACCCTCCATGAATCTTGATGAAAACAATACTAAGCCAGAATATGGAAAGGTGCAACCAATGTCTTGTCATCAGCAGTGGAAAATAAGATAGATTTCCTCCACTATGTTGACTTTGATCCGCTTCTCAAATATATTCTAGAATTTCCTTAACTCTGGATATCTACCACGTTTTGACTCTTAAAAATGTTCATTAAACCACTCTGACTCTTAAGATTCTTAGAAATAGGCCAGATATTCTTAGTTTGATCACTGGTTTCTGAATTCATTGTCAAGGCATGGGGCAGGAGGTGGTCTCCTTGTCGTGAAATCAGCACAGAAAGAACAGTTAATCAAAATTTACATGAGTTTGGAGCATACGAGGTCGAGATCATTGCATCTTTTAAGGGGAATATAAAGTGAATGTTTGAACCAGAGGAGGCTACAGGACTATGGTGAAAGAGTTGAGCAGTGGAATTGTTTTCTGCTTCTGTTTGGTAGGACAGAACTTAAATATTTCTGAGAAAAGAGACATGTTGTTAACGCTTTATGTTTTGCATTCATCTGGACAAACAAGATAACATTAAGTTTGAAATGATCACAATAATTTATACCAAAGAAAATTAGGAATGGTGATTCGTTGACAACTGCAACTGTGATTGGCCAAGGCATTATTACAGAGAAGGCAGTACAAAACAGTGGACTCCCCATGTCTCTGGGTAATTCAGAAAATGCAAAAGGCTTCAGCATCTTCCATTTCTTTATGCATCCCAGTGTAAGAAATGATATACATTCAAGTGTTGAGTTGCATTACACACTTGATTAATCATCTTAAGTTTGTTGTTAACAAAGTTATCAGTGTATTCAGGATTATTAAGCAAGTGCTGCTAGCTGCGAAATCATAGCTGACAATAAATATTTTGCTTCCGGTTTTGCAAGCATGGACTGACTGAATACAGTCTGTACTCTGCCCATTATGAACCACTAGAGGAATATGTTTGATTTGAGCATTCGCTCATGGGAACATATGGCCTACATACCTGGTATCATACACACTGAAATTCATAAGCTCAGATATGTGGTCCACAGAACATTTTTTTTTTAATGGTATTTAGGATGCTGTCCAATTGCTGCGTGGTGCCATACTGATGGAGCTTTGAGGGAGCATTATGTCCCACCATTCTTCTTGCTGTACCTCCTCCTTGAATGTCTCCATGCTCAGACATTTTCGGACAAACTGTTTTAAAGTTTCAAACTTTAAAAGTTTTAAAACTTGCAAATAAAAAGTTCATTTTAAATTGCATGTTAGAAAAGCAAATATGTTTCACATAAGTGGAGTGAAGCCTTTTGAATAAGAACTTTCTCTGAGTCATTATGTACAAATAAAAAATGAAACTAGGAATGATTATTTTGTCTTTCTGTCTTAGTGATAAATTGAATGAACTTCGACGACAGAAGGAGAAACTTGAAGAGAAGATTATGGATCAGTATAAATTTTACGAACCATCACCACCTCGAAGGTATGAACAAACTTTATTTGCTATAAATAAAATGTCGTTTTCAGAAATGTGTGATTTCAGTTGATTCTTTCATTCATTTATGTACATTTTAACTGTACAAAATTGCTGAATTGCTTTTTTTATCTTGTAATATTCAAATGGTTTAAATTTTTTGGATATATAATTTAATTTAAAATGTTTTAGTAAAACGCAAGTTACAATATGGAGGGACAGTCCATGAATAATTTGATTTATTACTTGCCTCCTTGCACATCTGATTATGGCTACTATTGATGCAGAGATCCACTCCTTTCTTCCAGACGAGGGAACTGGATTGCAATAAAGATGAAGAAATTAATAAAACACAAAAAGGAGGGAAACCGAGAACGCGTCAAATCTCTCTCGAGCACTCCAACCAGATCAGAGTCAAGTGATGGATTCCTTCAGTTGCCTCATCAAGATAGTCAAGACAGCTCTTCTGTGGGTTCTAACTCTCTTGAAGATGGTCAGACAATGAAAAAGAGCAGCAGTGAGTACACAACTTATTTTTTTCTTTGAAACAAGCTAAAATATAAATTTACCTTAATGAAAAACAAAAGATTCATATTTGAATTGTAAAAAGAATAGTGGATCAAAATTGATTTTTTTTTATTGAGTGTTAAATTCTTAAGTAAAATTTCAGAAGCACAGCAGTTAGAAATTTGATTGTAAACTGATTATATATTTTCATTGTTCTTTAAAAGTTTGTAATTAAATGCTTGTATTTTAGGTTTAATAAACTCTCAATGTTAAGCTTTTATTAAAACATTTGACATAATTTTCCCAAGCCTTGTGCAACATGGACAATGGCAGAATGTGGGAAAATATATTGAGAATTAAAAAATGTGATTCTTGATGTTGAGAAAGAATTTGCCATTAAGATTTAAACACAAGAGGATCGAGTCTCGTTGATAAGTGGCAACTAGCTTATTTCCATGTATTTGCATCTCATTAGTACACCTCATCTATATGCAAATTGCAATTTTCCCCATCTCTCCCAAGAAACTAAATGGTTACAATTCCCAACATGAATATCAGTGGTTACTTGTTGATGCAGCTTTCCACTTGCTTCTCTGGACTTCCAATTAAATGTCCTTTCATCAATAATGCCCTTAGGTGCACTATTGACAGAGTCCTCCTCCACCCTTCATCCACTAAGGTCCACATCAGCAGCTACCAGCCTGTCTACATTATCATGGCTGATCTACAACCAACTCAGAATCCACTTAAGCTTTTCAGGACTTTGGAGCTGAGGGACACCTTTTGACTTACATGCTCCTGCCAAGTCACTTGACAGGCAGGGACACACAGCCATCTCATGCATCTACCTTGGGTGCATTTTATGGCCCTTAGCTTAATTTCTTAGTGCTCGCTCACTTTTGCACTTACTTGGAGGTTGCCAACCCCTGTGGATTGCATAGCCTTATAGCTAGGAAGGGTTAGTGGTTGTGGACGATGAGGTGGGTGAGAGCCATTGAGTGCAGGTGCTGTGTGTAATAATGTGGCTAGTGGTCCATGAGCGATGGTGAGATTTGTGTACAGCAGCAGAGTTGGAGTGTGTGGTAGCAGAGAAAAGATGTGGCAGAGTGCAGAAGACCATTTATCATTTTCCTGACTGTTATGCATTCTTTCAGACATGCTGTGGGCTCCTATGGTGTTCTGCTGGGTAATATGACCCTCCTCTCAACCATCCTGTCCTCTAGGACCCTATCTAGAAAGTGTGTTGGCAGCTTCCCTTACTGAGACATTTTGGTTTCTTAAGGAGACAGTATGAGTTAGTTCTTGGTCTCAAGCACCTGAAGTGGAGTACAGCTGGCCTTCAGTTATGGTGCCAGCAGCCTGTACACCAGAAGCCCCCACTAGTACTGTTACATGATTATACAAAAGAGGCCAGTGGCATAGTTAATGAGCTGAGGACTGGACAATAGCTTGAGAAAAGTTCTGAACCATGCCTGCCATGAAACTTCCCAAAATAATGCTTAGTCTAAAAATTGAAAAATCTAACCCATTTCCTTTTGATCATAGTTGTTAATTTTATGAATATTCAGTACTAATCTTCAAGGACCTATGTTCAACCTGTTTTGTATTGTTCTTCAAACATTATGAAACTTTTCCATTCAATAGAAAATGTACTGTTCATTGTAACATTTGTACAGTAGTAATAAGCATAGGATGAACAGCTGAAACTTAAGTATGTTTGTTTCTGTTGCTAGTTTCAGCAATTAACTTACATCTGTTTTCCCTGCTTCTTTGTTTTCAATTCCCAATTTCCTTTCTATCACATGCTGTGAAATAAAAGTGGCTGCACTGAAAAGGCTGCCCTTTATGAGGAACAGACCGAAGGACAAAGACAAAATGAAGGCCCTCTACCGTCGCTCCATGTGTAAGACTCGATTCAGTTTCTCAAATGGTTGCTCTACCTTTCATCGCTTAACCTTTTATTAATTATTGCCTACACTTCCCTTTGTATGTCCCTTTGTTTATTGTGTTGTTCTAACACCATATTTAAACCAGACATCTTGAATGTCATTATCATGACAATACATATGCATTTGTGTATAGGATACATGCAAACTTCACAAATATTTGTAAATAATTCCTTGTAACATTATTGTGAAGTTGTACATAAAAAGTGCGCATGAAGACAGATTCTGTCCGTTAGTTGATTGAAAGAATACTGATAGAACTAACTCTAAAGATTCAATGATTCAGTATTGTTTTCGAACCAGATTTCAAGCTTCAGGAAAGGGCAGTTTTCATTCCAGATAATAAAATTGGGGGGATATTGTACAGAATCTGCACTAACATAATTTCTGTAATTTTCACCTAGCTACAAAATTATTAATTAATTAATGTTTTACTGTTTGTTTCTATGAACCTCAGTTAGTCCTATGTTAATCATTTATAAATAAAGTAGTTTAAGGAATGAACTATTAGCATTTTATCCGAAGATATTTCCTAACAGATGCTGTGAGTCTTGTATAACAGTACCAACTCAGTCTGTAAATTGTGTTTGAGATACTAGGAAATTTCCTGCCACTAATTTAGCAGCTACAATGCTTTGTTATGTAAAGTACAGTGACCCTGATTTTGTGGTCAACAATGAACAAATAGTATTAGCCATTAATTACACTTAACACCGCTGCAGAGATTTCATGTGGCCCCTTGCACTGTGATGATGAGTAATTTAAAAACAGCACTGCATCCTCTAACATGGGATCTTGAACTTGAGCACGTAACAGTGTTTCACTTAACCAGATTGAAGAATTATCTCTGAAATAAAAAGGGCAAAAAAATCATCAGCCCTGATTTTAGGGCAGGTGTTTCACAATTTGTGGTATGCCCCCACCCATTCAGACTTAGATAAGGAAAGCAAAATTCATGTACCACCACCGCTCAATGGTATTAGCAGCAATTTCCCCTCCACTCTGCCTCCTTAACAATATCAAAGGGCAGTTCACATAATAGGACACATAATAATTTGGTTTGTCTCCAGCACCACCTTGTTTTTAATTTTTTGTAATTATCTCTCAATTAATTTGATTATAGGTCATCCCTTCATTTGCTATTCAGCTGTTAACACTTTTAGTCACACCATCTGACACTTCTGATTACCTGCAGAGATTTATAATTCAGCATGTCGACACTCCACTCTCACAATTTGTATGGTCTATTGATCTCTCTGCCTATAAATTCTATGCCTGTGTGCTTCTCTTCACTTCACCTGAGAAGGGGCGGTGCTTTGAAAGCTTGTGATTTCAAATAAATCTGTTGGACTTCTGACCTTGTCCACACCAGTCCAACACCAACACCTCCACATCATATTTCCCATGGATATTCCACCTAGCCTGCACATCCATGGAGACTGTGGACAACTTAGCACAGCCAATACACTTACCTGCCTATCTTTGGACTGTGAGCGAAAACCGGAGCAGCTGGAGGAAACCCATGCAGACTCAGGAAGAATGTGCAAACTCCACACTGACAGTCGCCAGAGGGTGGAATCAAACCCAGGTACCTGGTGCTGTGAGGTAGCAGTGCTAACCATTGAACCACCATACGATCTTAAGGTAGGATTCCTCTTGAAGGAAGGCTCCACAATGGTAATTTGTGCAAACTGAACACCAGAGTGCACAGGGATCCAGAATGATCAATGCAGATTTCAAGGTATTAGTTGCGCATGTGGACAGAAGGAGAGATCTGAAAGCTCCAGATGGGGTCAGGACTGTCTGAAGGATGACTCTCGGAAGGGAGACAGAGAAAATGACTGGGAAGCTTCACACCCAGAGCCTGGACCCAAGGATCTTGCAGCAGTGCTGCTCTTAAAGGAGGTAAACATTTGTGAATGTGTTGTCCATGACATGTCCTACCCAAAATTTAACCAACCTCTTACGCTGTTTAGTATCCAACTCTCTATTACTCATTCAACAGCACTCTCTGAGACAAAGGACTCTCACCCAATGTCCAGACATTTTACCTCAGCCTTAGACCTACTAATCTGCAAGCGTCGTGCCCAACTCGCGCTGCATTAATATATCACCAGCTTTTCAACTATGACTGGCACAGAAACCAAACTTAATGCTTCACAATCACTGGCATTTTGCCCTGTCTCTTGTAGGACATTATAGATTGGAGAAAATCATAATGATATACAGACTTCTGTCCCACATGAGATGAGGGCAATATTCTGTCAGAGAATGCAATCACAGAGTCAAGTGTAACACTCAGTGAAGTTATTGATTTTATATGACATAGGACACTTTCTCATGTCTTGTGTCTATTTAGATGAAGTAGTCATTCAGAATGTTTATCATTTTGTGCTCACCTGTGTGAACTGTTTCTCGGTAGGTAGCGTTCTTGACTCTTGAGGCAAAAGGTTATGGGTTCAAGGCCTGCCCCAGAGATTTGATCACAAAATCTAGGCTGACATTATAATGTAGCACTCATTCAGTAATGCACTAACAAGAATATGTCATCTTTCTAAAACATTGTTAAACTGAGGCGCAGTCAGCAGTCTCAGTGGTAGAAATAAAAGATATCATGGCACTTGGTTGAGTTTTTCTTAACCAAACAAAAACAAACTATTGGAGAAACTCAGCAGATCTGGTAGCATCTGTGAAGAACAAAAGAGTTAATGTTTCAAGTCTAGTGACGCTTCCTTAGAACTGACAGTAGCTGGGTAAAGGTGGTATTATACTGATGACAGGGTTGGGGGTGTGGGTGGAGGTGGAGTGTTGGTAAGGCCTGAGTGGATAGCTGGAAAGAGAACCAGAGAGAAGAACAAAATGATGAAAGGGATTGTTGATTAGGGTAGGGAAGAAGGGAAGATACAAAAACAAAGTTGCTGGAAAAGCTCAGCAGGTCTGGCAGCATCTGTGAAGGAGAAAACAGAGTGAACGTTTCGGGTCCGGTGACCCTTCCTCAGAACTTCCTCAGAAGGGAAGGTAGATAGGTGATAATAGGAACGTATGAATATTTGAAAATGGGGGGACTGTACTGAAAGAATCCCATTTCATGGCAGGACCTAGGTTGTGGGGGTGGGTAATAAACATGGAATAAGGCGATCATGCTCCAGAAATGAATCCTGAAGGCTATAAGGTCCCCAAGTGGGAGTTGACGTGTTGTTCTTCCAGCCTGTGTTGAACTTCACTGGACCACTGCAGGAGGCCTCAGACTGCAGGCATGGGAACATTGTAGAAGTGGGGGCAATTAGAAGCTCATTGGACACAAAATGTTGACTGTTTTTTCTTCACAGATGAGCCAGATCAGCCACGTTTCTGTTTTCGTTTGTTTCAGATCTCCAGCATCTGTAGTTCTTTGTTTTATTTAGAATTTTTCTTAATGCCCTGGTAAAGTATTTCTCACTCAACATCATGCTGCAGATTATCTGGTTATTGTTACATTGTTTTCATGGTTTTACATTTTATTACATAGTCTTTATGCATCATGCTATGCACGCATTATCTGCCACATTTTCTGCAGTACAATAGTGATTGTATTTCAAAATACAGTTAATTATCTGTAAAGTGATTTTGGATGTCTTGAGGTTGTGAAAACTACTTTATAAATGTGTATGTTTTCTCTTCAGTCCTCTTCTTAGGCGTCCATTTTACTGCACTGTGAATTTTTTTTTACTGTCAAGCTTGCCTGGATGAGTGCAGCTCCAAAAACACTCAAGAAACTTGACACCATCCAGGACAAAGCAGCCTGCTTGATTGGCACTATATATCTACAAGTATCCACTCCTTCCACCACCAAAGCTCAGTAACAGCAGTGTGTACTACCTACAAGATGCACTGCAGAAATTCATCAAAGATCCTCAGACAGCACCTTCCAAAAGCATGATCATTTCCATCTAGAAGGGCAAGGGTAGCAGAATGCCACCACCTTCATGTTCCTCTCTAAGCCACTCACCATCCGACTTAGAAATATATCATCAAACCTTCACTGGCGCTGGGTCAAAATCCTGGAATTCCATCCCTAATGGCATTGTGGGTCAACCCACATCAGTTGGGACTGCAGCAGTTCAAGAAGTCAGCTCACCACCACCTTCTCAAGGGCAATTAGGGACAGGCATTAAATTGCTGGTCAGCCAGTGAGCCCATATCCTACAAATGAATAAATTTTAAAAAGCTTATCCTCTTCCATTATGCCTTTTTCCCAAGTACTCTTTGCCTTATGTATTTTCTAATATTCATGTCAGTAAATTCCACTTCTTAGCTTGGTTATAGATTTGTGCAATCAATTTCTTCTTTATCTTCCATTTAGTTCATTTATCAATCTGTTTAAAGTCATGTTGGCTAATATTTCTGGCCCAGATTTTTTTGGGAATGTGTTTATCCTGCACAATCACATTCTGGCTTTAAAGATCCTTCACTTATTTCTACTGAAGTACCATTGAATAATCTCTCCTAATTTATTTGCTATATTTGTTCACTTATTTAATCAAATTAGCCCCTTTTAAAATTATGTACCTGACTTCATTTTTGGGTATTACCAACTTCCGAATCATGTTAAACATTTTCTCATTTGTTGATTGCTCTATGCTATTTCTTATACATTTGCTTGTCCATTAAACAAATACCAGGAACTGAAGTTTCACTTAGGGATATCAAAACAGAAGTTAGAGGTTTTTCAGGTGTGGCATCTGAGCCTGGGAAAAACAGCCACTCTGAATGTTACCAAAATCGAACAAATTATCATGGAGATAGGGTCTCTGCCTAATTAAGGGCAGCAACCAGTTAGTCAATGCAGGAGAGCCAATCAGAGGGCTTCCAGCTTGACAGGAGCAGCAGGTTGCAATAAGATATAAATAACTAAGATGGTGCTTCGACATAAAGATGCTCTCTAATCAACTTTTCAAAATATCCAATAAAAAAAACA